GCAAGCACTCTACCACTGAGCCACATTTCCAGCCCTTTATTTTCTACAGCACTCAGAAAAACTCACAAATATGGACTGGAAAGCTAGAGTCCTGCTCAAGTAGTAAAGAGCCAGCCTAGAAAGTACAAGGCTGGGTTCAAATACCCACACAGCTAAATTAGCTAAATACTGGTATATAGATGTATCTATTGGCTTATGACTAGAATCCTTGCTACTCAGGAGGCTGAGGTCCAAAGGATGGCAGTCTGGGGCTAGTAAAACCAACAAAAAGCTAGGATGGATACATGGATCAAGTGGCAAAGAACCAACCAAACAAGAAGACAAGTATGAGGTCCTAAGTTCAAATTCTGGCACCAACAATACACACACACACACACACACACACACACACATAGAGGAATATAAAATAGTACTGAAATAGCATTTATTTGAATGATACCTAAAACAATTATTTATTTGTGTCTTCAGTATTTTTTTTGTTAGAAATTAAACCTAGAGCATTCTGCAATGCCAAGCAAGTACTCTACCACTGAGCTACATCCTTAACCACAATTCATCTTTCATATAAACTTTATGGAAATAATTTTGTGCAGTAAAATATAAAACTTTAACTTTTTTCAAAGAGGTCTTGAGTATTAGCCAGGTACACCAGATGTGGGACTCTGAGATAAATGGCAGGTCATCAGCAGCCAGATGGTGGCACATGCCTGTAGTCCTGTAAATGGTATAGGTTTGGGGACCATGGTTCAACAGTGGCTCAGGCAAAAACTTAAGACTCTATCTCAAAAATAACTAAAGCAAAAGAGGTCGGGCAGGTATTAAGTGATAGAGTACTTACCTAACAAGCACTAAAGCCCTGAGCTCAAACAGCAGAAACAACAAAAATCTATGTATTGAAGAGCACCAAGTACTAATGAAAAAGGTATCTCCTTTCCAGTATAGCCCACTGTTTGAATATAAGGCATTCTGAGTTGAATGTCAGTAGGTGCTTTTTATATTTAGAATAGAAGGCAGTAATTTAAAATGTACCTATAGTCATAAAAAGCTTAAGTTAAGAGAAATATACATTCAGGACAAAACTTACAAGCAAGTTAGAATTTGGAAACAACAAGTCATAGGTGCTGTGAGACTGAACAAGTATGAAATACTTCACTGCAACTTCTTACCACTTGAGATAGCCAAGGATTTTCCATACAGTCACAGGAAGATGTTTAGGATGTGTATGCATTACCAATATCATGACTAGAGAGTACTACATATCAAGTAGCACACTCAACTATACAGTGCACTTCTTTTATAACACAAAATGTTCTCATGTATTGTTCATTCACATTAATTTTTCCTTTGGTCATGCTGTGGCATATTATAATCACTATTTGCTCTATTCACTTTTATCTCCAAAATTTTAAAATGTTACAGTTAGGTATATAGAAAAGAAAGCAATAAGCATTGATTGATAAAACATACTCTGGTTAAGAGTTTAGAATATCATAGCCCCGATGCTCTTTTTTCTTTTCTTTTTTTGTCAGTCATGGGGGCTGAACTCTGGGCCTGGACGCTGTCCCTTAACTCTTCAGCTCATGGCTAGTGCCCTACTGCTTGAGCCACAGTGACACTTCCATCTTTTTTCTGCTTATGTGGTGCTAAGGAATTGAACCCAGGGCCTCACATATGCAAGGCAAGCGCTCTACCACCGAGCCACCTTCCCAGTCTAGCCCCAATGTTCTTGTGATTCTAAATACTCAAACCTATTTGATTTATTTTTAACAAAGATTTGAGAGTATAAATCAGTTCAGAGTAGAAATAAATCAAAAGAATCGGCAAAAAGAAAGTAACTTTCCAGCTCATGGAAACACGGAATCAACCCAGTGGCCAAGTGTAGCTAGAAGCTGTATGATGTATTAGTTACTATGTGGGGTTATAGAAGCCTTTCCAGTGTTACAGCAGGGTTCTTGGTTAAAGGGACTGTTCTATCCCATTATGTTTAAGATATACTTGTGAAGACTCCTTTTTCAGTTCATCTATGGTACAGTAACAATCCCCTCTTCCCTCACCACCTCCTTCCTTTTTTCTGTTTGGAGAAAGCTCTCGCCAAAGTGCTACTGAGGCCTATCCCAAAATGGCCTGTAGCTTGAGACCTCCTAAGTACTGGGATTACAGGTGTGCAACACTACTAATGGGATTAAAACCAAATCTCGAGATGGTAAGATTTGGTTATAAGCTGATTTAAAATTTCATGCTAAGGTTTAATTCTAAAGGTTCCCTCTAAGTTACTTCACTATAGTTCCCCTGTATTTGTACTGTTAGTACAGGCTACGTGACTCTAGTTAGAAATCCTTGGCAACAGAAGTATTTGTGATTTTTTGTTGAAGTATTTGCCTAAACATGAAGTTCATTTGCTTCATAAGTGAACTTTATATAAGTGACCTTATATATTAGTTTTAACTACTTTGTGGATGAAAGCAAGTTTCACAGAGTAGAATTTTCGCATTTGCATTAAGAAAAGTTTTGGATTCTAGATTTTCAGAATAGGGATGTCCATCCAACACACAGATGCCTACAACTAAGCTATAAACAATGGGAGAGATTTAATGAGGCTGATCCAGAGGAGTGACATTCCTGCTGACAAGCAGAATAAAGGGATGTAGTGATGAAGCTCAGCAGACTAGATAGTAATAGAAAACACTCCAGAAAAGACACGACATAAAGCTGTGTTAAACTGAGAACGTCAATGTTCAAGGAATAACTAAAGGTTCAGCACAAACTATAAAACTTCCATAAACTTAAATGAATGAATGAAAGAAAGAGAGAGAGAGAAAGAGAAAGAAAGAAAGAAAAAAAGAAAGAAAGAGAGAAAGAGAGAAAGAAAGAAAGAGAGAGAGAGAGAAAGAGTGCCATAAATTGTCTGGAGCATTTTAATTTATATATGCCTTTTAGCAAAGATCACACAGATAGAATGGTTCACGAATTTTCTTCAAAATGTCACTAAGTAATTAAACTATAGATTGCATAGAAATGGCAGCTTCATACCAACTAAGACATGCAACCTCTGTTCCTAGGAGTCCACATGAAGAATGAGAGTCCTGAACAAAATAGCCCAAAGCATACATCTAGAACTAGTTGTAGCAAAATGGGACACTTCCCAGGAAGAGTGTATCATCGCTTTCTAAAAAGAAAAAAACAAGCTAAGTAAGAATACTGTCCCCAAAGTTCATGGGAAAGCTGCACATGAAAAGGTCATAGTCAGAGCTAGGACACAGAAATCCAGAAAGATATCTGCAAAGGATGAATCTACAGGTGAAACATCCAAGAAGCATATGAAATAAACAAGGTGGCAGTCCTAAGGACTGCCTAAATTCCCAAGTGGCAAAAATCTGTAATAAGGCCTTCTGCATCCTTGAGTAACAAAGCTTTCAACAGCTAAGAGACAGCACCCAGGCCCTGAGTTCAAGCCCCAGTACTGACAAATGCACCACAAAAGCCAGGCTGAGTAGAGACTGCTCTACTCCGAAAACTTCTTAGGCATTAGACACATTTTGACTGGCTCTCCTACTCCAAGGGAACAAAGCTGTTCCCTTGAGTAATCTGAGTCTGCTCTTCACAACCATACGCGAGACAAGATAAGCGCTTCCCAGTATTTGCCTCTATAAGGTAAAAGACAATCTTCTGCTGACTGGGCATCTTTTGGAATTGATGTAAGCCTCCTTTATCCTGTGATGGAGACCACATCCCAGGTAGTTCACATGACACAGACTCAGCCCCACCCTCCTCAAAATACACATATTCACCCTCGCTTCCTGTCAGCATGCTCCTGGCCTGTGTGCGCTCTGTCAAGCTTCTGCTTTCCTACACATGCTCTCCCACTCACCCACGCTAACACCAGTGACTCATGACCAAGCAATGTGAATCCACAATAGACTGGTTCAAGGCTGTATGCCAGACTCCAGGTAAGGTAGCACAAAGTCCTACCCTTGACTTTTACAAATGTTCATTAGTAACCCAAAATGCCAATCCTACCAAAGAACACAGAGGCCTAAATTCACCAAATACTTGCAGCCATACCACTCTTGATATTCAGAACAAAAATGTTTTCACCCTGGAACTTCAAAGATAAAACTCTGAAGTAGTGCTAGTATTATTCCAGATCCATTCATCATGGCTCTGACTTAGATGGACCAGAGAGCTAGCTCACTGTAACTCCATCTCTCTTTAGCTGCTGAGTGGTATATAAAGGATGGGGAACTTCTCTTTCCCAAAGATGTCATAAAAATAGCTCAAAAAGGAACACATCATCTCACTTTTCCAAGTTATAAAAGTAAATAATAGCAAAATCGGGCTGGGAAGGTGGCTCAGTGGTAGAGCGCTTGCCTTGCATGCCTGAGGCCCTGGGTTCGATTCCTCAGCACCCCATAAGCAAAAAGAAAAACGCCGGAAGTGGCGCTGTGGCTCAAGTGGTAGACTGCTAGCCTTGAGCTGAAGAGCTGAGGGACAGCGCCCAGGCCCAGAGTTCAGGCCCCATGACCAGACCCCAAAAAAAAAAAAAAAAAGTAAATAATAGCAAAATCAAATCTTCTCATGGGCCAAATACACATTCACACACTTCAATACCACTTGTAATAATTAAATTTAATCTCTGCTTTATTTATCCATGTCTTTCTAGAATGTAGCATGGAAATTCAAACTGGTCTAATCTTGTTTACTGTACCTGGCACATTCCAGGTTGCTACAATTGCTTCCACAATAGTCTTCTAAGAAAGATTAAAAAATAAAGTACCAAACTGAAGTTAATCCCCCAATAAAAACCATTATCAAATGCCAGGGTTTTAAGCAACCTTAGAAATCAGCAAGAGTAAGAAAGAAAAGGCATGGCAAAATATTCTGCATAAACTGAGAAGAAGACATATCAAATGAGTGAGGCAGAGAGGCAGATATAATCAATCAGTACCACAACAGTACATTTTAAAACATGAAAAATAAACTTAACAAATCTAGGTACTTACATTAAGAAGCAACTCATCTTTTGTTTTAAGAGGAAAATTCTTATTTTCCTTCTCAACCTGTAAATCATCGTCTCCATCTGATAACACGGGAGGAAGTGATACACAGGAGGAAGAAGATGATGATGAGGAAGATGATGAGGAAGAAGAGGAACTGGAACTATCTGAATCTGTTTCACTGCAGAAGAAAAAAACATTGGTCAAGTATTACAATGATATTAAAATAAAATGATTCAAATAGGAACTGTCTATCTCCATCTGATAACACGGGAGGAAGTGATACACAGGAGGAAGAAGATGATGATGAGGAAGATGATGAGGAAGAAGAGGAACTGGAACTATCTGAATCTGTTTCACTGCAGAAGAAAAAAACATTGGTCAAGTATTACAATGATATTAAAATAAAATGATTCAAATAGGAACTGTCTACCTTATTAACTACTGCTATTCTAATTCAAAAAATGACTGCTGCAGGGAAGTGGTCTTTATGTTTAAAGCAGTCTAACAGAAATCCACTATTGCTATCATGTCACATGTCAGACATTTTGAGTATAATTAAGCATGTGACAATCAGTGAGCAAGTCCACTCTCTTTGTCACCAATGAGGAGACCACTTGCTTGCCAAAAGTTTCTTCTCAGTCTTCAGACAACTTGGAAACTCCTGAAGGATGGCCCCTCTGAAAACTTCTTAGGTGTTAAGCCACTTTTGACTGGCTCTCCTATTCCAGCTTATTTTATGTGCATTTATCCCCCTGAAGAACCATAGCTGGAACTTGCAAATCACAATCCTTTGGTTTGCATGTTTGGCTGGTGTTCTAACCCTCAAGCCACACTCTTCCAGCATGGCTTTTGTTGTGTTCTTGTCAGTACTGGGGCTTGAACTCAGGGCCTGGGTGCTGTCCCTATCTTATGAGCCACACCTCCACTTCCAGCTTTTTGATGGTGATTTTGAAGAAGGGAGTTTCACAGACTTTTTTTTCCCTAGGGCTAGCTTTAAACTAAGATCATTCAAATCTCAACCTCCTGAATAGCTAGAATTAAACGAGTAAGCCCCCATCAACACCAAGCTCCTCTGCTGTTTTCAAGGGTACTATGTATGCACAGTGATTCTCTCTTCTCTGTCACTGTTATTTGGATAACTGCATTCATTCCAATAATTTCAATCACCATCTTCAGGCACATAACTCTAGAACTTTCAGCCCTGGTATCACTATATGTCTATATGTCTGTCTGCCTCCATAGATCAATCCTTATGATTGATCTGTGTATACCTCACATGACTAACAAGTTAAAAACAAAAGAAAAAAATGCATTTTCTTTACGAACATGCTTTCCCATCCCCCTTTTATTTCCCTGCTTAGTATTTAATCTAGTCATGGTACTTAAAACCCTGGAATCACTATTGGATGAATGTAAAGTCCAAACTCCAGCCTGGTAATCAGACTGTTCAATGTCTTCATCTTATTTCCACTATTTTAGGCTCTTATTTCTTACTTTCTTTTCGGAAACAGTTGTCTATGTACTCAACTGATAACCTCTCCCTTCAGTGATCGGCTCTTCTTCTTACTTCCTTCATCTTTTCATGACCTTCCACCCTGATCAGTTCACACTCTTGCTTTAAAAGAATTGTTTATTGAGCAAGAAAGTCAAGTGAGAGAGCAAGCCCCTGAGTTCAAGCTGGCGTACCAGCACCAAGAAATAAAACGGCTGAACAGGTAAAGGTATTAATTATATATGTGATAGTGCAATATTTGTGTATGATTTTGATAGTGTATTTATACAAAAGAATGTCCTCATCAATAATATATGCTCTAATTAAAGACAAAGTAACTTGATGTCTGTACATGAGTTTAAGACATATTGCACTGAATTTCAAAACTGTTAAATTAAGGTGGTGGCTATATGGGTTTGTACTATTCCTACTTTAAAAAAAAATAGTCAAAGACAGAAAAGTTTAAGGCTTTTCCATTAACTTAAAAGCCATAGAGCCCTGGTAACCTTCACAATTCTACCTCCTACTACCTCCCAACAGTCTAATCTAGCATACAAACTCTCAGGACTTTAGAAACCCAGTGTACATGGACCTCCACATGCCACATGTGTTTTTCTTGATCTGAAATGCTTTGGCCCTAGACAATTCCTATTCCTTTTTATATGTTTGCCTTAAGCATTACCTCCTCCAAAGCAACCACTTGCTCATCAAATTTCCTCCTTCCCAGACTCCCACAACGCTCTTAAACTGTTACTATATATTGCCTAGTACTATATCATAATTCCCTGAAACCTGTGCTGTACTACCTTACCAACAAGTAAAAACACAAATGGTTTGAATGTACAATTATTTGCAAAAATTTGGTACCTTCTTCTATCATCCAACCACTAAGTGCCAAAAAGTCATGTAGAACAACTTAAAGGCTGGTTTAACTACCTCGATGGTTTATCTCAGTATACTTTCAATCCTTCTCCCCAAACAATCTACCACAGACTTCACTTTTTCCGGCGACCTGTACTCTACAAAACCCACATGGTAACTATAATCTCAGAACTAACCACGTATACATTTGGCTTATTTCCCTCCTAGTCTATTCACACTCCCTCTACTAAAATCCTTCACCCTTCTTCATTACCACTTAAAAATGATGATTTTCCTAAAAAGCAAAGTCCTCACCTCCTCTCTGTCTATCTGTTGGGAACATTCCTCACACCCCACACAGACAGCATACTCAAAGTGTTTGTAGACCATGTTCAGCGAGACTCTGTAACGTCCCAGATGCTGGAAATCTTTTCACACCACAAGGAAAAGGGGAGGGGAAATTTCACAAACTGCTAAACAGCTAGATAATCTCATGAACGAGTGCGCCCTACCAGGATTTGTGAATCAACGTGACAGTGGAGAACTTCGAAACGCAAAGTTCTTTCCCTCTACCTCAATCATAGGGAGAAAAAGAAAAGGGCGGGGGTGGGAGGGGGGAGGGAGATCTGATGGCAAGATGGTAATTAGGATCTGACACAATGTTCCAAAATTGTGACAACAGGGCTAAGTGGAGAAATAACCCATCACATTGTAGCTAAAAGTTACCACTCTGCACACAGACCTCTCCGGGCTTAGCACCGTCGGAGGGAAGGGAAAATTGATAGAGGCGATTGGCAGGAGGGACGCGGAAGGTCCCAGCGACGTGACCGCACGTGCAGCGGGCCTCCGCCACCTCCCACCGTCCCGGGCCCCGCTCCACCCCGCGTCCCAGGGCCCCGCACCCGAAGGCACCAGACCTGTCTGAGTCCGAGTCCGAGTCCGAGGTGTCCGGGGGCTGCGGGGCGAGCGCCGGCCGTGCGGGGTCCGGGCCGGGGAGGACGCGTGGCGGCTCCGGCGGCGGCGCGGGGCTCCCGGCGGCGGGCGGCGGCTCCCCGGAGGGCGGCGCCTCCACGGCCGGCTCGTCCGGGGGGCTCTCCGGCGGCGGCGGCGGCGGCGGCGGCCCGGACTCGGGCTCGGGGGCGGCGTCCGGACACGGACCCGCCGGGCTCGGATCCGCCGGGCCCGGGCCGACCCTGAAGCCGGAGCTACTGAAATTCAGAGTTTCCAACTGAGCGGCCGCGGCCTCCACCACCTCCATGGCGCCGCGCCCGACACCGAGCAGGGCCTCACGTCCTGGGCGGGCAGGCGGACGGACAGACGGACGGGCTCCCGGCCGGGCCCGACGCGGTAAGCACACCTCGGGGACGAACGCTCCGAGGCCAGCGCCGAAGCTCCCGCCTTTCACCGGTAAACACACGCGGGGCGGCCGGGACACGCCCCCCGGCGTCACGCACGGCACTTCCGGGAGAACGTGTGACGTCACGCGCCGCGCCGCGCACGGGGGCGGGGCCCGCGGGGCCTACTAGCTGCAGGATTGATCCCAGGTTTAGGGAAGGAATGGAATGAGGTCTGAGTTTGGGTCTGAGCAAATGCTTTTGAAAGCACGTTTATATGAAGGGATGAGGGATCTAACCGGAGACTGCTAGGTTCTGTAGAGTAGCATCTTGACTCAGGAGATCTTGAAAAGTGAACTTCCAGTCATTTCATTAAGGTGAAATTAAGTTTGAAACGGATAGATAGAACAATAGGCGGAAAGCGCATTGAGCATCGTCTCAGAAGATAACTGTCACTGCCCCATCTTCCCTTCCCCCAAATCTCTCTCAAAATAAAGACAGCAGTCATGATGGACAGACGTAGCTGCTTGAGGATGCTTTGTCCATCATAGTTAACACTGGTTCAAGAGAAGGGCCGGTTGACCCTAGAAAGTACTAATTCAACCTGGGAAGCCTTCGCTCTACATTGTAATGAGGGCAAGCGAAGAGTTCTTGTGAATGAGGAAGGGATCAGAATGTTCTGGTTTCCTAGTGGGTCTTGGCATTAGAAGTTGACATTGTAGCTTTGAGTAATAATAATCTGGTACAACTGAATAAATATGCATAGCCATAGAGAACTGTGCTAAGGATAGTTATAAAGTATTCAGTGGAGATTTAATGTAGGCCATCCATAGTAGTAGGCCCTCAGAAAATTCAAGTCAAGTGTAAAGCAGACCTCCTTAAAAATTCAAGATAGATTGGTTCTCCATTCTAGCAGATAAAATTTGAGGATGTTTGATTCCCATATATGAAATGATATAGTACTTGGAAACATCCTTCTAAAGTTTATCTTACTATATTCTTTTAATAATCTCTAGATTGTTATGTCGAAAAAGGTAAGTTTTATATAAATGGTTTGTTTTACTGTTCTGAAAATAACAAATTATTATTTTTGTTATTATTGTTACAATTGCTCTGAATAAACACATTTTTGAAAAAATAATTTCAACCAGTAGGTAGTTGAATCTGTGGATGTAATCTCAGCACTAAGGACTTTATACTTTATTTGAAGTAAAAGTAAGTGAGCAGGAGTTAATTAGACATAAATGGAAAAGAGAATACAAACACAACATCTCTATAAAGTTTAGTAGGACTGCATCATGGAAAAGCTGTATCATTTCAAAAGAAGAATTTAAGTGTGAAATATTATGAATGCAATGATTATTCAGAGCTCAGGATTCCCAGCTAAATATACCTGTGTGTAATTCTCAGTTCCGCCATTTTGTTGTTAGTGTAACTGTAACCTTGAGGAATGTAACCTAACATACCTAAATCCTAATTTTCTTATTTATAAAGGAAGACAAGAGGACTACCTAGTAAAGCAGGCATGGTGTCATATTAGTGTAATATCAGAACCTGGGAGGTGGAGGCAGAGTTTGAGACAAGCCTGTATAGTGAGTTCCAGGCAGTTCAGGCATGAGACAGACCCTGTCTCAACTAATAAAAATTCCAGTTGCATACTGGTGGCTCCTGCCTATAATCCTAGCTATGTGGTAAGCTGAGATCTAAGAATCACAATTTGAAGTCAGGCCAGGAGGGAAAATCTGTGATACTCTTATCTCCAATTAAGTACCAAAAAAGCTGCAAATAAATCTGTGGCTCAAATCATAGAGCACTAGCCTTGAGAAAAAGAAAAAAAAAAAAAGCTCAGGGACAGGGCTTTGGCCCCAAGTTCAATCCTCAGGACTGGCACAAAAATACATAAAATAAGATAAAAATATTTAAAAATCTTTATTGAGTTAATGGAGTGTTGCATAAGGTATTGTAGAAGTGAATGGCCTGGCATACACACATTTAGTATGCAAAATTGAATGGAACAATGCATAAATTTATAAATAAAATGCTATTTCACTGGTAGTGATCTTCCAGTAGACACAGAGTATTAGCCTTAGGAGGGAAGAAATTTTAGTCTGAATGACCCTTCAGGCAGCAAAATACCTGTTGCATTTTTCCAGTAATGAAAGTCTGAACCAGAATTTGAACTGATGAAATAGAGTAAAGGAAATTCCACATATCAAGCCATACTCAAATTACAACCTCTGCATGAGGAAGCTAAAAGTTGTTACCACCTAGCAAAAAGATGGAAATTTCTATAAATATGTGAATGTGAATCTGAACAGTCTATTGAAAATGTCAAAAAAAGATTTTAAAATGATAGACTAGCATGGAATAGAAAACAACAGAAGCCTAAGTTCATGGATAGTTCATCTATTCCTGTGTTCATTCAGTAACCATTTCCTTAACATTGCTATGTGCTATACACTGAATTATAAACTGTGTGTGCAGAAAGGTAAATAAATCATAGTCCCTGCTCTTAACAAACTAACCATTTAAGTAGGAAAAAAAAAAAAACAAGTTGATATGTAAAATAATGGAGAAATGCACTACAGTAGAAGCATGTAGAAGTATAGCAGAGGTATGGAAAAAATGGGAGAAAAATAGAAGGTACTGAGAATACTCAACTGTGTAGTATATTCATAGAGACATAATAACTGTAAGATGAATGATAGTCACAACACTCACTGATGCCTCTTGCGGGGCCCATGCTACAGGTAGTATGAGATGGTTATCTAGGACTGCCTGTAATCACACCCCCCAACAGCAGGAAGTTTCACAGTAAGTGTGATGTTTTAGCGAGATTGTTAAGGAGACAACACATTTGTTAAGCTGAGAGAGCAGGAGCACGTCACAAGAGAATAAATAAAATCATGATATGTCCTGCTTCAAACCATTCCTAATGACATTAACATCCAGAGTCCTACCTGTAGTTTTCCAAGCTCCACCTGTCTTGGATCTGACTTCACCTCTCCTATCATCATCTTCTTCCTTTGCCTATTCTCTTGTGCCAATAGCACAAGACTAGAATTAGTCTTGATCATCCTTCAGCTGAGCAGTTGTACTCTTCACCTTCTTGTCCTCTCTGCTCTTCATAACATGACTCCCGCCTTCATTTCACATGTCTTTTCTCAGATTTAACATTCTAGCCTCCAGCTCTGAGGCCTTGCCAGGACACCACTCAATCTATGAATACCCTGCCCCAGAGCACTCACTCCCTAAATTATTTTCCAGTACATAGTATTTGTCATTTCATGAAATTATACTTATCTGCTTCTTGATCATCTCTGTTTTCATCTAAAATCTCATGAACCCAGGTACTTTGTCTAATTCACATCAGCTTTAGCAGTGCCTCAAAACATAATAAATGTAATGATTTTTAAACAGACTAATAATAACAATGAAATCTTAGTAGACAGAGTAAGGAGAGCATTTTACAGATAATTCCTAAACTGATGCACAAGTTTTTCCATTCACTTTAATCTGATGATAGCTAAGAATGGCTAGTATTGAAGATACAAAGATTTTTGTTTATGAGGTATGATTGATCTCTGGGTTTTGAGGTAAGAATAGGCTGTACCTGTGCCTAGCTTTGAAATAGGTCACTTTCACAATTGGTACTTTTTCTAAGTGCTTGACTGTCTCAAAATGTCCTGAATTTACCTCCAGTACTTCCAGAGCCTGCCTACCCACTGCGTTATTTCTAATAGCTGCTAAACTTAGCCTGAAGACTTTATAGCTTCAGGCTAATTCTATGAAAAAGTGAGGAGCTTACAGGATCACTACTGAAATTAAGAAACAATTTACCACATATTAACTTATGAGCTAGAGGGAATCATGTAAAACAATATATTCTTAAAAGTATAAAAACAAACCTCCTGAGATGAAACATTTGAAAAACAGTTTACAAGTTCATCCTTCTCTATATATTGTAAAGATTGAAAAAAATATACAAAAACAAAACCCACCAGCTGACTAGTTCTTAAAAGTTATTTCCAGCTGGGTGCCAGTGCTCATGCCTATAATCCTAGCTACTCAGAGACTGGGATCTGAGGGTTGTGGTTTGAAGCCATCCCTGGCAGGAAAGTCCGTGAGACTTCTATCTCCAATAAACTACTCAGAAAAAACCCAGAAGTGGTGCTGAGGCTCAAATGGTAGAGAGATAGGCTTAAGCAAAATAAGCTCAAGGATAGCACCCAGACCCTGAGTTCAAGCCCTAGGACTGGCAAAAAAAGAAAGAAAGAAAGAGAGAGAGAGAGAGAGAGAGAGAGAGAGAGAGAGAGAGAGAGAGAGAGAGAGAGAGAGAAAGAAAGAAAGAAAGAAAGAAAGAAAGAAAGAAAGAAAAAGAAAGAAAAAGAAAAAAGAAAAGAGTTATTTCCACAGCTTCTGGTGGTTCATGCTTGTAATCCTAGCTACTCAGGAAGCTGAGATCTGAGGACTGTGGTTTAAAGCCAGTTCAGGCAGGAAAGTCAGGGACACTCTTATTTCTAATTTACTGCAAAAGCCAAAAATGGAGCTTAAAAAGCTTAAGGATAACAAGTAGGATCAGAGTCTTGCTTCTCTAGAAATGAGAAACCGTTTTCATTTAGATTCAAGACTGAAGAGTATGAAGGTCACACCTCTTGGCTTCCTGGTCTCTAACACTCAGCCTCTGTAGAGAGGGACTTACTTACCTGGTTAGTAGATTTGGAAAACAATTGCACACACACGTTTGGCCCAGAACCTACTAGATGCTGGTTAAATGCTGCCTACTGTCAGAGAGCATGCATGCTGAGCTGTCCTCTTTTATAGGATAGTAAGTGCAGTGATGATAGAATGGCAGCTTTCTGTGTATTAGCCCTATTGTAAGCACTGAACAAACTTCTCTCTACAAAACTTTAACTATAATTATTAACCTGGTTTTACAAATAAGGAAACTGAGGCTTACTGAGTCTCCCAATGTTCCGCGGCTAATAAATGTTTGAATGGTCCCCCAGAGGAACCATTTTGAGAATGTGAAATGTATCTAAGGCAGCTGAGAAACTAAATTTTAT